CTAGCCACGGATCTTGGATACGGTTTCCCGATCGGAGATCCATGGATCACTGACGGTATCTCCCCATGGCAAGTCGTACGCCTCCGCCCTTATATTCGTAAATGGAAAAAGTTCCATGATACGATAAATCTTTTGCTCACCAAACATAAGATCGAAGAGCCTATCTTGCAATAGACCCTTTCTTTCTAATACTGTGAGTTCAAAATATTCTCTATCAAGTATGGCCCTATAATGGGGCACATCAATAGCTTGCTCGAAGTTATTGTGAACAAGCCCATCATACTTCCCGGGATTATTCTGGGGAGGAAGGTCGTAGTAATCACGGCTCTGGAGACTCTGTATGCGAGCATAAATCTCAGCTTCGTTATTGGCCGCTATTTCGGCTCTAAAAGTAGCCAATGATTCACTGCTCGAGGAAGACTCCAAAGCCGGAAAACTACTTTCATTTCCACTTTCGGAAGATACTTGCCAAATGCAAGCGCTTGTCATTCCTGCCAGTAGAGAAAAACACAAATATCTAGCAAAAGTACAAAATACGTAAATTAGAATGAGAATGGCGAAGAAAAGAAAAGAACTCTTCTTCCCTTTGGAAAATCAAATTATATAAACCAATATTAAAGTGACCAAAATTAATAATAAAGCGATGACGGTGGAAATTATGGGGCAGTTGTCCGTTCCTATAAAACGTCCGACAAAGAAAGCCGACCCGAACATCGGAAAAATCGTATAATGGTTCTCCCCCCCCCACACACACACACACAAAGGGGGGGGGGAGAGAGAACATGACCGAGTGAGTGCTTCTTGGGGAGGAGCACGAGATCTAGAGTGGTAGTGCGCGTTCCCCATTGAGGGGGCTAGGGGGTGAGGGCGGGTGTAAAGCAATGTTAACTAACTCCCTGTCCGGCTTAACAGCTCGAATTAGCATTGAGAAGCTAGTGACCTACAGGAAAGAGTGCACTCAAGGTATTATAAGAACATCAAGTACTAGCAATAACCCTGGACGACTATTTTATGCTTTTCCTAAAGATGTATATGGGTTATCATTTTTTTTTTTACTTTGAATTAATATTAGTTTACACAATATACGTCATGTGTTTGAAATTAAATTTTCAGGGACCACAGTCTGGGTTTATCTGTTGGGTTGACGAAGCAAAAGACAATAATTCATTGATAATCTGTAACTTAGTTTGATCGAAGAAGAAGCTTGAAACCAAAAATTTGGTCTTGAATATAACTTTAATTTGTAGTTGGACTTTCTTTTTTGGTATTGTTGTGTACAAGTTGTAAGCTTTATGTTCATCAAAAAAGTTTATGTAACACTTATTACTTAATCTATGTAATATGTAATGTTTGCTTGTTTCTTATTATTAAGGTCCAGATGTACCAACCTCTTCCAAAATTCTTGTTCGGAATGTTAATCCGGAATGGGATTTCAGAATCCAGAATGTGTCTCTGGAATTCGTATCCAGAATACGTGTCAAGAATCTATGACATGTATGATTGATTGGACGTTTGAAATTTCAGTCCGGAATGATGTTCCAGAATCTGGAATATCATTCCGGATTCACATAGATTCTGAAATGAAGAAGTATAAATAAGAAAATGGTAATGTAGGTCATTTACAACTCCGAAATGGAAGTAAACGCACCCCACCCTTGGACTAGAGAAGAAGAGATTACGCTCGTTGAGGCTTGGATAACCATTGTGGATGGCATGGTTGTGATTTTTCTGCCACATCTCATGTACGACTCATGTTGGGTCTGTTTAAAAATATGTTTCACTTTGAGTTATATGTTATAGAGTATCGAAGCGAAGAAGAAGTGAAGATTAAGTTTCAAGACATTTGGACAAAGGAGAAGACGTTTATCAAAAATTATCACAAGATTGAAAGCGAGTTACTTGATGAAGATGAACAAGTAATTTTGTAGCTAGTAATGGTGGAATACAAACATAAACATCACAGTGTTGATTTTCCATATGAATATGTTTGGGATATTATAAAGCATGTCATGTATTTTTAAATTACATATTTTGTAATCTGTAGGTATAATAAGACTACGGTACTTGTAAATTATGTTTCTTCTAACTTTGTAATATGTAGCAAATATTAGGGAAATAATAATATTTTCTATTAGACATGCAAATCAATTACAAACATAATTAATTGCTTACATAGGCAAGAAAACAACCATCAGAGGGTCTGGTATTTCCTATTTAGATAGAGGGGGAAAGGGTGCACGGTTTGTGTCTGGTAGGCAGTCTGAAACACATCAGCCTAGTAATACATCTAATATATCTTAGCCATATCGGCTAATTCAGGGATGTTCGAATGACGTGATGTCGCAATAGCATAACTGCATGTTATTCCCAAACTGTGCTATTGCTCACATGCATGTATGACGGTTCAAATCTACAACACAAGTTTTTTTAAATTCAACAACTCTATAAAAGTCGGACGGGAATGAAGACGAGATCTCTAGTGGGATCTTTGTTAGTTGCCACCAAACAAACTTTTGGATCCTTTTATGAAGCACCATTTATACATATGGGATAAGTACGCTAGTCAACCTCCTTAAAGTAAATATGATCAAATAAAGTTCTTGTACAAGTAGAACATAATTTAATATTGCACTAGGTATTTTACCTACCATTAAACCGCGTTCAACAAAAGTCCGTTAAATGTAGCCACGAATTGCCCCGGTAAGTGTTATTATCGATAGATTGCGTTGATAACCGATAACACCAACAAAAATTGGGGAACATCAATGTTGACTACATTCCAATGGATGTTATGGAAATATGTTATTGCCCATTTCGGATGTCCACTGTTGGCAAGCACTTCACGAGCATCATGGCTTAGTCGACGGAAGTTTTGTTCAAAATCAGACACAATATATGAGTTGGATGTCATTCAAAACAAAGATTTCAATGATCTTCTAGAGACACCTCTTGTGCGCATATACTTGAAGACAGTTTTAGAAGTATACCCATGATAAGAATCAGGGAACAAATGATCTATGCAGGAACTAACGACATTGTTCATATTGGTTATGAACGATACTGCTCTACCTTGCCCAAGAGATTCCTTTAACATCATACGAAACCAGGTACAAGAGTAGATATTATTTTTCATGGCCAGACCAAATGCTATAGGTAGGGTTTGGTTGTTCCCGTCCATAGCAACAACTAAGAACATTGTGTTTAGATAGTCCCCTCTTAGACGGACACTACCTATAAAGATGACAGGCAGCAAGACGCCTATGAATGCATGGAGCTACATTTTTTTCGAGCACAAACAAATTAATTTAGATGTAGAAATATTATCAATTTTAAAGAACAATAAAAAACTAGAAAAACGTATAAGACACATCTAATGGCCACAAAACAAGCTTGGAGACGATCCATCAAATCAGTTTTGATGTAAGTGTAAGTATGCGGGTTGGTTCGCCTAAGGTTGTGTAGGTAAACATACATGTTGTTAAAGCATTAAGGTTATATAGGTAAACATGCAGGTTGTTAAAGCATTGTTCGTGCTCACTTTCTGAGAAACTCATCTTAAAGTATTTATAAGAAGTAACTTTTATATATGTAATTGAGTTTCTAAGGGTCTAAGTACATGCAGACACATATATATGTAGGAGACGATAATTGAGTTTCTAATCCAGAATAACGGTCCGAATACCTGTAACGTTTGTCCATGACTTCGTATTGTCACTTCATAGTACGAGAATGACAATCGTACATAGAATCCTGTTTCAGACTGTCGTAGTTTGGAATGACAGTCTGGAGTGTGCGAAGATTCTTATTTCGGACCAGAGCTCCGGAATGTTATATTCCGGAGAAAGTTGTCAAGTAGAATTCCGGAATGAATTGTTTTCCTCCGGAATGACCTATTCTAGAGAAAGTGGTCAATTTACAAAAGAAAATATAATATAGTTATTATTATTAAAATACTTTTTTTATAAGGGTTAAATTACGTGATTTCGTTTAAAACAAATATAAAATATCAGAGAAATTAAAAGTCACCGAGAATAAAACGGGAGAGTAAGAGTTTAAATTTGAAGTTTATCTAGGATTCACGTGGTCAAACCACACAAATTATTTCATTAATTTATTCGTTTTTTTATTACTCCTGTTTGAATTTTTAAAGATGCTTATCTCCGGGTTCTCACAACAACTGTCCGCGAAATAGGTTCGTCCATACTTTGATTTACAAATACAAATCGTTCCAAAAGCCATACATATCGGCAGGAGAGAGACGACATTTAAAGGCACAACCGAAAAGGAAATTGTGGAGTTCTTGGCGATTTAAGGTAAAATCTCATACCAAGCTTCGAATTTGTTATGATTATAGCTTTGTGAAGAGGTTTATTGATTGTTTGGTTGATTCTTGCACCCGGTATTGATAAAAACTCGAACGTATTAATTGTTTTCTATATATTGTTAAATTCTTGGGTTTGTACATTGTGATTGAATCTTTTTTTTATTAAACTGAATTGATTATTGCTAATAATATTATTAGGAGTGGAGATATATAATGTGATATTTCATAATCCTATCTAGCATGAACAAAACGAACGTTGGAAAATGTAAAGAAATTACAGAGCTAAGGGCTAGGAATTGCACTTAATTTCCTTTCCTTATTATTGCATTGTTAGAGCATCGTCCTTTAAAAAGATTACCTATTATGATGGCATGACACAAATCAATATGTATTTTTATAGAAAGTGATGTCTAAATATGGTAAAAAGTTTATAATTTTTTTTTTTATATAAAAAACCATCCATATCAGGAATTCTCTTTTAATCATAGCGTCAAACTTTATTATTTAAGACAACTTATTCTTATTGTGTACAAGTAAGCAATATTAAACTAGTATTCTTAACTATGACACATCACATTAGTCGTGTCACCTAAAATCTGCCATATCAATAGATAAAATAATAGGATGACTGGTGCATCAGGTAGCCATACCGGGCAATGCTCTAATGAGGATTAGTTTTAAAGTGCAGTGCTGTAATAAGGTAAAAAAAAACAAAGTACAAAGATTATAATTAGGAATAGTTGGAAACTGCATTGGTATTTCTTGAATATTGACCAAAAGTTATGTGTTTCTTTAAATCTCAAAAACTATGTTATTGGACTATTAGGCAACCTGTCTATACTCTTAATTTTTGTTTCTTTTACTTTTGCAGTTTCTTGGTTTTAATGGACACCAATCAACTTACTAAAGAAGAGATTTTGTTGTGAGTCATTTAAAAAATATATTTTTTTAACCATATTTGTTTGTGGATTATGTAATTAGTCATGATTTGTTTTTCAGGTTGACAAGATACTATCTTGATGACTTTAGGAGAAGTGAGATATTTAAAAGATCCGCTGATAAGTTTGCCAGGGAAGCAAAAATTGATGAAACTCAACGTATGAATGTTAAGTTTATTTCTTTTGAGTCGTTTTCTTTTTCTCTGACATGGTGAATGGATTTTTCGATCTTGATTAATCGTGTTTTCTTGGTTCATGAATGTTATGTTCATTTTGTTCCTAGATAACCAAGAAAGTTCATAGACATAGTCTTTTTCTTTTTGGCTATTTTAGGGAAATGGAAAGACTATTTCTTATGTGTTTTCATAAAGGGTATCTAATTTTTTGATCCTTTTTAATAGCGCTCGTTGGAACATTGTGGGAATATAATGAGCTATGCTGGAAAGAATGCAGGGATCTTGATTATTGGACTTATTTCTGTGATAAAAAACTCAAAACACTCAGAGGAAACACATTTCAGGTGCTCTTCTAGAAAATAAACTAGTTTTTGTTAGTTATGTTTTATGGAGTTCGTGTTTCTAAAATCTCATATTTCTTAGATAAATTACATTTTGGTCCTCGAGCATAGCTATTTTTTTAATTTTGGTCGCAAAACATTTTCCTTTGCAATTTGGTCCTTATTTGTGGTTTTTGTCAGTTTTTTGGACCAAAATTGAAAAAAGTCAGCTATACTTAGGGACCAAAGGTAGTTATTTTACTTGGAATAAGGATAAAAAATGATACAAGAATCTTAAATACAGATCAACATTTGCAAAGAAGACGTTTCGGCACCAAAACTGTAAAAATAAGCTTTACTCAGGGATGGAAAATGTTGTTTACTCTATTTCTTGTATTTTTTTTGACATAATTGTCAGAGTAATGCCTTAACTAATACAACCACAAATCAGCAACACTTGAGTGTTGATCGATCAGGAATTGAAGTTTTTAACTTTCCAAGCGTGATCTTCGGTTCATCAAGAGATTATCTGTTGATGTAAGTTATTTAATTATATATATATATATATATATATATATATATATATATTATTGATGATTTATGATGCAAGTCATTTGAATTTTTATTTTAGTAAAGCATATGTTAGTTGTAAAGTGTGAGTATGTGATTTTTGTTTTTGACAGACTAAAACAATACATTGATAATTACATTCTGAGAGATGTGTATAAAACACTCTTTGTCAAAGAAGAAATTGATGCAAAAAAACAAGATGGTATGTATATAATATATCTTGACACATTGCATTTTTGTTTTCCCATAAATCTTTATGGGCGCTTTCTTGGTTTATGAAAATGTTATATGTACATTTTGTTCTAAAATAACGAAAAAATTATAATTTGTCCGATTAACCGTTTTAATTGATATGGAAGTGATAGTATAAATGTTAATTTTCTTTTTATTTTTTTATTTTTGTTTTTAGTTGGATCTAGTTCAAAGAAACGACGTGTATGTAGTGATGAAAATGTGAAGATTGAAAGATAAAGGTATGTAGAGTTTGAGGACAAAACGGTAGTAGAGTTTTATTATTTAATACTTCTGGAAAGATGGTAATGTTTAGTTTTTCTATCTTCTTAAAAACCTTGTTTAAAGCATATCTGTTTTCTAATAATGTTCCGAAGTTGTCTTCTAGACTTTTCGTGGTTTTTTAATGGCTTTTTTTTTCTTCAGATTTGTAATATTTATTGCATCCGTTTGCAGTAGAATCCTTGGGTGAAAATTTATGAAAAAGACAAATGCAAGATTACAATAAATGAATCTTAATTTCTTGTAATACTAATACCTTCGAACAACACTAAAATATGCCACCGGTTAGGGATAAATGCAAGAAATAGCAATGTAGTTTTATTGATTCGATTATTATAACATCCAGCTTCATTTATTTCTAGAGTAAATTACATGAATGGTCCTTTAAGTTTGCACTTTTTCCCTGAAGTAGTCCCTACGAAAGTTGTTTCCTTCGGATGGTATCTATGGACGTAACCTTGATCGCAAACGGTCCCTAGGTTGGATGTCCGTCTAAAACAACGTTAACATGCCCCATGTGCCTTGCACTTGAGGGTATTTTAGTCATTTCACCAAAAGGACCATTTGCCAACAATTATCTATTTGCTAGTTACATGAGCAGAAGTACATTTGTCGCCATCAACATTCAACCATGCTCATCTACACTTATCTTCCGGTTTTTTCGTAAACACAAGACCATGAAGCAAACCAAAAGATTTTGGTTTTAGATAACTAGTTAATGGAGGATAAGAAGAGATCTTTCGTTGTTGTTTTATCTCTCCTCTTGCTTCAGTTAATTGCTTTCAGTGGATCTTCTATCTTCTCCATAATGATACCTTACTCGGAAAGTATCGTCAGAGATTCAAGAAACTTGGTGTCTGTGTCGTCTTCTTTGTCAAAGTTGATGTATGCGCTTAAAGAGGAAAACCCATTTGAAGTTACATCAGCAGAGTATATCCTTGGTGAAAGAAGAAATCCCATCAGTAATCTCAAATACCCATTTAACCCTTCTACGAAAATCTCACAGTTTATCTTTCGAATCTGAAGAAACTTTTGGAGGGTTTGACCTTTATGACCAGCTCCGATGAGGGTATTTCCGGGCGAGAGTTAAGGAATTCTTTAGCAAGAATGAAACTTCTTGCAAGGTTCGTTTCTTTATGACGTGGATTTCACAATTGAATTCTTTTGGTGAAAAAGAACTCCACTCTATCAAAACTGTATTCAACACACACCCAAATGGGTGTCTGCTAATTCTGTCAAACTCCATGGATTCGAATAAAGGACGCCAGATTCTAAAACCATGTTCGGAAAAAGGTTTCGAGTAACAACAATTTCTCGTGATTTAAATTACTTGTTCAAGAAGACAATGGCAGAATCATGGTTTTTTAAGTTAACTAAAGGTGATGTTGATGCAGGGTTCATTCCATTTGGTCAAAACTTCTTGAATTTGCTTTGGATTTGTTTGTTATATAAATTCGGTAGGGTTTATATGGATATTGATGTTATGTTCCTGAAAAGCTTCTTGAAGTTAAAGAATTCAATCGGAGCTCAAACATTGGATTTGAGTTCAAAGATTTTGAGCAGGTTGAATAATGCAGTCATGGTGTTCGATAAAATGCAACCATTGGTTTACAAGTTTATCGAAGAGTTCACATTAATTTTTAATGGAAACAAATGGGGTCACAATGGTCGTTACTTGGTTTCACGGTTAGTTTCAAGGCTTGAAGGTAGGCTTGGATATAATTTTATGATTCTACCCCCATCAACGTTTTATCCAGTGAATTGGAATAGAGTTCGAAATCTTTTTCATGGGGCTAAAAATGAGAGGGATGCAAAATGGTAGAGGTGTAAACTCAGGCAGATTCGAAGCCAAAGTTATGATGTTCTTCTTTGGAATAAGCAGAGTAGAAATCTTCGTGTTGAATATTAAAGGAAGTGTTATGTACCTTTTCTTTATATAATTGTTCACCAATGGTCCTTTTAGGTGAAATACTAAAATAACCTCATGTACAAGGCACATGGGGCATGTTAACATTGCTTTAGACGGACATCCAACCCAACGAGCATTCATGTTTTAGTTCCGTAGGTACCATCTGAGAGAAAAAACTTTTGTAACGACTACTTCAGGGAAAAATGCATACTTAAAGGACCATTCGTGTAATTTACTCTTATTTCTATTATAATATTTCAGTTGTCATTCAAATACAAAGAAAATTTATTAATATACTAGTAAACAAAGCACGGCTATGCCGCTTTTGGTGAAAACCGAAAAACTTTAAAAGATATGTGATGAAAGTGTAAATCACAAAGCGACCGTTTCTGTAAAGTTTTATCAATATATGGACCATTTCTATAAATTATAGGGACCATTTATGTAAACATAATTTTAAAGCAGGGATTGCTTATGTAAATATTAAGACGGCAGCAATCCATGGACCAAAACTGTCAACCTCCCAAAACTTATTGTGGCCAAAACAACAAAACAAAGCAATCCAAGGATTAAAATTGTCAATTTCCGAAACTTGTTGTGGCCAAAACCTAAAGCATGTAAAGTTTTGTGGTCAAAATCAAAAGCATGGAAAGTTACTATTCATAAGCTCCTTTAGATTTAATATATATATATATATATATATATATATATATATATATATATATATATATATATATATATATATACACACACAAGTAGGTTCATGCGAAAACATAAATATTTTGCGAAAACGCGAAAACAGATTTTCTCTTATAAAAGTCAAACACAAGTACTATAAAAATTAAATTTATTAGCTATATATATATATATATATATATATATATATATATATATATAATAAGAGCAAAATTTTTATAAGAATTCTTTTTAAAGTATGATACTAGGTAAATGTTTCAAAGTACAGTAATCATTCTTAATAAATCCAAATTTTTTTGCCACATGTCCTCTTCTCTTTCATTTGGACACATGACATTTTTTAGAATTTTAGAATTTTCTATTTTCCACTTGTCATTTTATTGTATTTTTCATTTTATTAAATTAAAATTCCACATTTAATATGTAAGATAATCTATATATAAGGTATTTATTAGAAAGAGTTTATATATGTAATGTATTCAATGTATTAAAGCTTTATTAATTTTAATAATTTAATTTTTTTTATTTTTCTTACAAATTCAAACTTTTCAAATTGTTAAAATTTCATATTTAATTTTTTTTAAATAAACTCATGTAATACATGTGTCTCACACCTAGTCCTCCCTAATAAATAAAAATAATTTGCCACTTGTCAATCTCTCATCAATTTTGACAATTGTCATTTTATTATATTTTTTAAATAAATAATATCCACGTGTCAATTTATGAGTTTTTTTTAATTTTTAAAATTAAAAAACCACATAATACTTTTACTTATATATTTGTAAAGTATTAAATGTAATAAATATGATAGTAAATTGTAATTAATATGTTTATTTATTCTTTATTTTAAAATTTTATTTTAAGAAATACTTATTATTTAAATTTTAATATTTTACCAACCCATAAAATATATGGATCTTACATCTAATTTTATAATTAAAAAACATCGAAAATGCAACGTTTTAGTGGAAAGAAACAAAAACAGGAAACTAATAAAGATGTACGATTATTGTTTCTTGCTTTATGCCAATATGGTTATATATATATATATATATATATATATATATATATATATATATATATATATATATATAATATTCTATCTATAACATATTAAATAAAATTATTTTTGAAGAAAAACAAGATAAATCCTTTGAAGGTTATAAAGTTTTAGTTTGAAACTTGAATAAATTTAACCTCAAACTTCAAGAAATCCCAACATACTTTGAGTTTGTGTATGATAACATCGTATTCTAATATATTTCTATTACAACATTATTATTATTATTATTATTATTATTATTATTATTATTATTATTAAAACACTACATTGAAATTTATATTAATTATAATATCATACATTTTCTTTAGATAAGCATATTATACTTTAAAAAATATATAACAATGAAATTGTTCCGTATTTTGGTGGAAACAATACAATTGGCGTGTGTCATTTTTAGCAAAATCGTCAAAGATATGGAAGTCGATTTCGACATGACTGTCAGACAGAAAGCAGTCTTTGAGTGTCTGCGGGCACCTCATGCTCAGGATTTTCTGCTAACTATCCTTATTGATGATCTTGGCCAGCACATGTCTCCTGTGGAGTATCGAACTATCCTTCGTTACCGCCTCATGATTCCCCTATTCTCAATTGACGAGATATGCCCAGTTTGCCGCAAGGCATGTTTGGATACATTTGGGGAACATGCGGTTCATTGTAGAGAGCTCCCTGGTTTCAAGTACATACATGATGTGGTTCGGGATGTTCTCTTTGATGCTTGTCGGCGTGCTGATATTTCTGCGAAGAAAGAAGTGCCAGTGAACATTTTGACGGACCCGCAGGATGGAAGGTCCACACTTAGACCGACTGACATTTTGGTTTTTGGATGGATAGGAGGGAAGCATGCGTACATGGATCTTACTGGGGTCTCTCCTCTAGTTGGTTTGGGGAGTGGGGGTTTCACAGCAGGGCATGCTGCTTTGAAAGCCGCTGCGTGCAAAGTGGTAAAGCACGAGAATGCATGTATAGAAAATCAACATGTGTTTGTACCTTTTGCATTCGATACATTTGGTTTTCTCGCAGCAGAGGCGGTGGAGCTCCTCAACAGAGTCCAACGGGTCATGCATTCTAATATCATATCTCCTAGATCCACAAATGTTGTTTTCAAAAGAATTAGCTTCGCCATCCAGAAAGGGCTAGCGGCGCAGCTTGTTGCCCGTTTGCCTTCAATCGATATTTATTGAACTATTTTAATCAGTATATATATATATATATATATATATATATATATATATATATATATATATATATATATATATATATATATATATATATATATATATATATATAAGGTAGAGCTTCAATTTGAGAGTTATGAAAGACGGACTTTCCCCATTAAGTTCTAACAATTTACAAGCTGCCAGCATTGTTTCTTAAATTAGCATTACTTTTTTCCCAAATTGGCGGCGTTGTTTCTTAAATTAGCATTACTTTGTTGATGTTTCTTTTTTGACTTAACGGATTTGATGAGGACATGATTTAATATTGTAAGCCATATATAAGTGTTTCTTTTTTCCTTGAGCAGAAAGAATGCAAAAAGAATGAGTTAAGAGGGTAAGTCGAGGTCACAAACTTTCCAAATTAAGTCCTGACTTTTTACTAATGCACGTCATTTTTCTCAAGGTAAGAACCATTTATCCAAGTACCACTTAACGAATGAAAAAAAAGAAGGGATAAATATTTCAAATAACAATGTATCATACTATTATAATTACGTATTATAGTATCATACTATCATCTATTTCTATTAAAACATCGTGTTTTAAAAAATAATCATATCGAGGTACATATCGCATATTCTAGCTGATTATAACATTGTAGTTTCAATTTTTTTCCTTTTCTGGACATTATATTTTGAAATGTCTACTCAACTGTAGCAGTGAAAAGATTGTTTCTAACTTATATGAATTTTCTATATGGATGAAATTTTAAAAGTATAATGTTGTAATAGGAAGAGATGAAAACATGATGCTATAATTGAAACGTCCTAAATTTCAAACCAATTTTTTCATTTAATATTAAAGCATTTGTTCCAATTATAACTTCAAGGATCTACATAAAACCATTTGATTGAAAACATTTATCAGAGTATAAAGATAAGAGGTATTAACTACGAAAATCTCCAATGGTTGCGATGGAATCAAGTCGCGCCCTTCCTTCTTTATCGGAAAACCTGAAACAATTTAAACTTAAAACCGTAAGCACAAAGCTTAGCGTGTTCACCAAGATACCACATACAACCATATATAAAGTTATGGGTCTATTTCAACCCAAAGTGAATGCTATAAGCCAAATTATAGTCTTACACTCACTTCCTGTCATGGGCCAAATCATGGTTTTTCATGCAATAAGACAAATAATGGTCTTAAAATTATCACGGGCTAGATCTTGGTCTTTCATATAATTTCTAGGGGTCAGATCTTAATCTTGATGGGTTTTGAGCATTCTAACACTCCTAAGGTGTACATGCAACCCTATAAACCTTGGATCTATGTTTTCTCTATTATACATGCAAATATTTAATGTTCCAAGGTTTTAATCCTAACTAGCATAATATGAAGCAACTATACTACAAAGCCTAGTTAGATGACATACCTTTTGATGGAGCTTGAAGTCTTGAACCTTTAACAGCTTAGTGCCCCAATTGTTGCACCTCAAATGGAATCACACAACACCAAAAACAACTTGGTATAACTTGAGAATAAGGATACTTAGGTTCACACTTGAAATTGACCCACTCTTGTTTTCTCACACACTAGTGTCAATTTCATAAACCAAAGACCTCTTTATATAGTGTGGAGGATTAGGGTTACATTCATGTAAACCCTAATACCCATGACCTTTCATTTCCATAGGATCCATGGGTTAAAAACTCCATGGACTATCCATGAAAGCTTAGCCCAACCTAAATGAACTTGGCCCACCACATATATATATATATATATATATATATATATATATATATATATAAGAGTCAATGTTTAGTTAGTTCCTTTTTTATCACTAAATTAATTCTTGATCAATACTAATTAAATAATATGATTTCATATTAATATATTAGAACTTATAATATATTAATATAAATCACTAGTATCCTTTTCCTCATTTTGTCTATCCAATTGTTCCGATGCCATGCAACCCAAATGAACCATGC